ATATATATATAGAATAGAATAGAATAGAAAATTGAACTTTATTCTGGGACTAAGTCCCCTTAGAATAACAATGATGAATTAATCCAAAATAAAATAAAAATCTGGCCAAAAACTAACTTTAAATTCTTTATATATATATAATGTATTTATATATATATATATATATATATATATATATATATATATATATAAATAATATATTTTCCCTTAATATATTTTGTACCCATATGCAAAAAAAAAAAAACTTATAAATAAACATAGTATTATATTGTTCGTTTTACCATGATTATGCTAATTATCACTCCTTATTTTTATGCATGATATAAACTACCGAGGCTTTTTGGGGAGAGAAGGAGGGGGGTCGTTCCTCTTTCCCCCTCTTACCCCGCCAACCAGAATGGAAAGTTGCACCTATTAAAAAACATAAATTCATAAAATTGATAAAATATTAAATAAATGCTAATTTTATGTATTTGCGTACATAGAATTCATCAATGATATTCACTCTCCAGTTGACTTTCTCTGAATTTCTATGAACTAAATTCTGTAAAGGCAATTTACACACGATATGAATAAGGAACCCATCGGTGCGAAAAGTTCTTCGTGGGGTTGTTTCAGAAAGGAACAGGTAAATGACGTAAAATCTTAGGATCAGCTTTTTTTCAGATTTCCTCGCCTTATCGATTTCATCAATGAAAATATTTGGATTACAATTTATTGGTAGCTACAGTTGTTAAAGTACACAATACAATCATATAAAATCAGTTGCATCATAGTCTCAGGTTTTCCATTCTGATGACCCCTCCAAAAAGTCTCGGGAGTTTATATTATTATAACAATTTTGAGTGATAATTAAAATAATCAACATAATTATTGTAAAACGAACAATAAAATACTATATTTTTGAAACTAAGTTTAAATATTAGTTGATTTTTTTGCGCATAAGTGTATTTGAAAATACGTTAACAAAGCAATTGAATATATTTCCTTTTTTTAATTTGTACCTGAAAGTTTGAGATAGTGAGATTAAATCTCTATTCTCCGATACTTCAATTTTGCTGAGAAAAATGTGAAAAAATCTTAATAAAAATGGGAGGGTGGAAATGAATAAATCAAATAAAAATCCTAGGATATATTGGTACGTACATATAATCATCTATGAATATAAACCAAAATTCATATAATAGAAACATAGGCTGTAACCTATTTCCATACCTACTTACTAGACCTTAGCTTACCCATCTAATCGACTTTTGACATTTTTTAATTGATTTACGATTATATATTTTATTCATTCATCGTGATTAAACTTTATTGATTTTTTTTATTTTTTTATTTTTTTTTTTATGTTCTTCGAAATATTGGGGTAAGGCGTAACAATAATCTCACCCCTCTCTATTTTTATTGGGTGGGAGGGAGCAATCGCTCCTCTCCCTTTCGGCTCCCTCCGGAAGTCTGCGCTTATGATTTCCATTAGTAATGTCCACAAACTGAAGTGCCTTAGGCGAAATCGGATGAATAACAAACTAACTCTTGGATTTGAATTTTGATCTTAATTGAATAAAGATATTTTTCTTGTACAAACGGTTTACAAGAAAAAAGTCTAAGCACTGCACAGGATTTTTGTTTCAACATTACTTATTTTGCATTGTCACTACCGAAGATAGAGGAGAAGTATTGTATTCATGCAAGAGGTCAACAAAAAAAAAAAAATTAGCTCGGGATCGAAATTTTTCAGTCGCGTTTTACGTTTCAGACAAAAATTTATTCGGTATCTGTCTGTCTGTCTCTTGTCAAAACGATATTATGGGCATATCACCTACTACCGTTCATCCGATTTTCATGAAATTTTCAGGAATTATGCAGGTTGGTGCCTAAACGGTTCCCTATCAAATTTCATCCAATACTTCCGCTTGCGCACGCGTAAATGTATTTTCATAGATATGCCAATATTTCAGAAATCGTTCGTTGATTTTTCTCAAAGTTAAACTAATAGTAGGTTTTGGTAAAATGATGATGCTATATCGATTTTATTGAATTTCCTCCTCTACTTTCGCATATATAATGTGTACACGCGTTTTCCTTGATACTTCTATATCTCTAAAACAGCTAGTTCGATTTAGCTCAAATATGGAGAGAAGTTAGGGATTAGTTAACAGATAATTAAATAAGTGTCAATTTTATCAAATTCCATCCACTACTCTCAAAAAAAGTTCCGCTTTCGGATCAATAAACCTATTATATAGCACGTCTTTAGTTTGAAAACGGTTTCTTCAATTCAACCCAAAGTTGGAGGAAATTAGGAGAATAGTTCAGAAATTCTGTAGTACCAATTTCATTTAATAATTAAAATTAATATAAATTACTGTTTACATATAATGGTTGTAAAATGTGAAAAGCATTGATCCCATGGAACAGTTTAAGTTTTGTTCTTAAACTGAGGAGAAATACTGATCTCGTTAACTGGCACGAACTAAAAGTTTAATTTTTCCAATGGCTTTTTTTTTATTATATCCATTTTCCTTGTGAAAACATTCGTATTTAGTATATATCGCTACTATTAGTGCAAAAGGTCGCATGTAACAATTTTTCATTTTTATTCTGTTTGTGCTAAAGGTGACATTTCGTAGTATGCAACTGATATAGGTAGCCTGGTATTACGGGAAATATCAGAAAATCATACACTAAGAAATCATAAAGAAATAATTAGTTTACATTAGTTCAGTAATAATTACTGCACTAACAGGTAGCGATATAAATCTTCAGTATGTACTGAGATTATTTTTTAATCACGATTCATCATATACGCAATTTGCAAATGTGGAGCTCTTCCACATTTTAGTATTGGCTGATGAACAAAATTCGTGGAAACCAAACCCGCGAATGTTACGGAATTACTTTCGTTTCCGAAAGCGGCTTCTCTTGGAGATTTTATTCTCATACGTAAAATTATAGATTTTGAAATATGAATATTGCTGTGCCAATAAAAAAGGTGAGAAAGCTATACTCGCCTTACTTAGCAGACGTTTTTTATTTAAATTCACTATAACAAGAAGGGTCACTTTTCGTATAATCACCCAAATATAACCCCCAAACACTCTAAAACAAACTGATAAATAATTTTTATCAAGGGATTAAGTTGTGTTCTTATCGTGCCAAAATAGAAAACTTTCTTCTATTGATATCATTTTAACTGACTGGAATAATCACATAAAATAGAAATCTAAATCTGCCTTCAAACAACTGTTCATTACATGTTTTGCCTCATATTGGTATATATTTTAAGAAGACAGTTTTAATTCAACATTATAAATTTTATTTTATTCAGTGAATCTTAAATTCACATCAAAACTCCAATCCGACCAAATTGGACACCAAAGAGGAAAAGCCAAGAATGTTATTGTAGGAGGGTCAGGGATGCCTGCTCACCTGGTTCCACTTATAGTAAGAATAATTCGAAATTTTTAATAATACCAAAATTAGGTTCAAACATTTTCCTTACCTGTTAGTTTCGAGCTTATGAAATCACAAATGATGATTTTGGTTTACTTTCATAAATGCCCAGAAGAAAGAAAGACAATCAAAATTCTCTTCCTGTTCTCAATGTTTGTAATAAAGAAACTAATACATTGATTGGGCAGTAGGAACAATTAAAATAAATTATATTAAATTTATACAAATATAATAATATTTGTTAAGTTTTCATATAAAATTGCTATTACTGATGTAAGCAAATGTTGGACAGGTTTGAAACCTTAACTCTAAATAAATGTCCCGAAACTACTTATTTTTCAATTATCCATAATTCCAATTGAACAATGTTAAGTAAATTAATGGTAACATTAATTATACATAATTTTTATGAGAAAGCATCTTTTGAAGGAATAAATGTATAGTCTCCAGCCAGCTATTTTATGTGTCAAGCTTACACATGGACTAGTACCACAAACAGATTTTTTTAACCCTTTTCGGTCGTATTCAATCCACAGTGTTGTAAGAAAAGCAAGTAACAAAAAAAAAAATTTGGAATTTTCTATGGTTTAAAATTAATCTATACAGATTATCTCATATCAAACCATGAAGAACTTCACATCCTCACCTTGGGGAGAGTAACATTCAATATGTTTTTCACATTCACATTAAGATATTTCTTATTGTGGTTGAGATAGATTTATTTTAATATTACCATTCATTACAAAAATACAAAAAAAAATAAAATTAATACCATTACTTTTTTTTTCAACCTGAAAAAACTTTTGAAAAATGATTGTAAGGCCCAGTGACATCAAATGGTCAAATAATATAAGAATGACCCTAGTTTTTCCAGCTGCAAAACTTACACCCAAGAAATATCATTCTGTTTTTTCTCTCACTATGATGTCTGATTTCTCTAAAGAAAAATATTTTGTTTTTGGCCATACCACCAGTCCTAACCACAACTCCAAGACCAACTACTTCTAATTTTTAGCTAAATATAAACTTTTTTTATTATTTGTGAGAGTCCATAATACCAATATCAGGAATTAGAGTAAAATTTGGTTTCTTTTTTACTAATAATTACAACAAATATTAATTACTTTCAATATATTAATAAATTTCTCCATTTCCTCAAGCAATGAAATTGTCACTTTAAATATGGAGTAGTTTTTGGGTTGGGAAACCATATAAATTTAATTTTAATTATACTTACTGATATTTTATGAGTAGGTTTCGTAATTTATTTTGTTTATTATTTATATTGAAATTAAAAATTTAGTTTTCTATTTTCCAAACAAATTTAATACTCATTATTATACGGCACAATAACTAATATTGTTCATTATAAACATAATATTATTTATCGCATAAATTAAGTTATACTATTGGAAAAATAAATAAAAACAATGTATATGTGAATTTTTCAAAATATTTAATTGCTGTGATATCATATACTACAGCGATCATTTATTTATTTGTTTACCTTTTTTTTAAGTTTCTTTTAATTTGTAAATGTTTTTCAGGCATGCTGTTCTCTGTATTTTTGATCATAGCAATGAACAATGCATGGTGGATGTCTTATTTTCTGTTGTGAGTGTATTTTTGTTTGCTGTACATTAAGGCTTTCTAAAGTAATGATTGATGCAAAATCAATTGGTTTATAAAAAATCATATATAAATAATTATTTTACAATTTTTGGGATTTCATTATGTGTTTATAATGGCAGCATGGTAAAAATATATTTATGCTAAATTTACAGCTAACAGAAGCAACCTAGCATTATGTATATAGTTTAGGATACATAACTCGGAAAAACATAAGTTCTTTTAATTCTTTGTTTTCAAACTCTAAGTTAAGTTTTTAGTTGCTAAGTCTTTACAATAACACAATGCTAAAGCTCTACAAATCATCTTAATTCATTGTCTTTCTTATCGCATCATTAAAAATAAGCTTTTATCTATTCCATGCCTTCAATTGCATCGAAGACTTCTTGGAGAAGCTTCAAAACAACAAATTTTTTGTTTCGATAGATGTCCAAACTCCCATTTACTTTTTTTCCACACTTTTTAATATATGAACTTTTATTCAGATAACATTGATCCATTTATTATTTAGGAATCAATATCGAATTCTTATGTAATAAATAGATTTCAAAATTTCTGGTGTACTCGAGAGACAGATTAATATATTACAAAGTCTTTGGTTGGACATATTTAACTGGTGGTGATTGTGGGTCTAAGTTCTGATGTACAAATTATATTTTTTATTAACAATTTTTTACAACTTAGTTGTTTTTTGTTCCCAAAAGTTTGCCATTTCTTTCAATCTAGTCAGTCTCCCTCTCAAAGACCTCTGAAAGCCTTGCCTTCCTCTACATCCTGCAACTATTTCTTCCTTGGTCGTCCTCTTTTTTGCCTTTCTATTGGTTGATAGAGAAAGGTCATTCTCTGTAAATGGTATTTTTTGTAAATGGCAATACCATTGCAACCTTTTTGTTTCTATATTGTAGAGTAAAGTTGTTTCTTGCTGAATGTTGTTCCTAATAGTTTGCTTGGAACATGCTGCAGTCTGGAAATGACACAACAGCGTCTCCAAAAGTCCATCTCCAATGTTAGCAGCTTTGTCTCCTTTTTGGTGATCACCCACATTTTAGATGCATATAGATTTACATTTTCAAAAAAAGAATGACATAGCCTTTTTATGTTTGAAGACTTACCTGCTTCTTCCATTAAACAGAATTTAGTGTTCTAATTATCCACCCTCCTCTTCTAATTTTTTCAACGATATTCTTGGAGGAGCTTCCATCCTCAGTTATCCATTCTCCAAAATATTTAAATTGATGGATTCTTCCTAATTTTCTATTTTCTACGAATAAGGCTCTTTCCCTTAAAGATATTCTTGTTACATGCTATATACTTTGTTTTTTTCTTTATTCACCTCTAGACCCCAGGCTCTATAATCCTCCACGAGCTTCCTTAGCATGTAGCTATTACTTCATCTTCATCGTCATTCACTATTAATACCTGTTCATCAGCAAATTGTAGGGTATAATTGCATTTATCATCTATCTGTATTCCAAGTCCCATGCATTTCTTCGCCGTACTTATAGAACCATTTCGACATATAGATTAAACAGCTGTGGAGATAGGGAACACCGTTGTTTGAGGCCTTTAGTGATCGGGAAGTGGTTTGTTAGTCTATTTCTGAGTTTTCTCCTTGCTCTAGCACGATAATACAAGCTTTTATTAACTAATTTTTTATCCCTATGTTTTGTGAAAATTCCATAGTCTGCAAATGGAACAGTATCATAGGCTTTCTGCAGATCTATTAAAATCATGTGTACCTCGCTTTTACAGACATTTTTCATTTCAATTAATTCCGTGAGTAAATATGTGATCAAATAACATGACCTATTTATATGAAAGCCAACCTGTTCTTCAGGTATTTTTGTGGAGCATTCTTCTAGTAATCTAGCCCTTAATTAAGCACACACCCATAAAGGTGGCTAATGCTGCTAGCAAGTGTAATGCCTCTGTAATTAGACCATTCCTTCTTTTCTCCCTTTTTGAAGAAAGGTGTTATGTGGCCTTCAGTTCATTTTTCTGGTACGGTTCCACTTTTTATACATGCCATATGGTCAGTAAGGTATCATATTAATTTTGAAAAGTTTAGGCACTGTAATATATCTATAAATCTTCTTTTATGACTGGCCATTAAGCCCATGAAATATAAATTCCACATCAATCATAACAAAAGATAGAATTATATAATAGAATTTCATTGAATGATAGAATTTCATAGAATGATGGATAGGTTTTAAGTAGACCTCTGAAATCACTTCTAATATCTATTGATTGAAGGTAAAAATGACCAACTGCAATTTTCATTAAAATAGAGTTGTATGCTTTTAGCTTGTGCCTAAACCAGAAATACACTTCAGTTTTGAAAATAATTGTAAAATTATCAATAATTAATTGATAATTATTGTTAATTCACAATTAGTCAATAATATTTAAGATTACATTTGGTCCAGGAACAGACAGAAAGCAAACAACCTGATCACTTGAAAAAAAAATTAAAATTTTCAATATTAATTAAATTCATAAATCAATTTTATTTTTTGTCAAAAAATTATAAATATCTTCCACATCTCAATCAATTAATATATTTCATTCATCAAACATATGCAAATATGTTTAAAAAATAAATAACAAGTATTTACCTACTTTTCCATCGCATAATAACTTTGAGTAGATTCTGTAAAAGGAATGTTTGCTTTGTATCTTTTAACTTTTCATTGTTCTATACTCGTCTACCAAACATTTAGACTGTATTTCCTGCATGAGATATGAACCTCTTGTCTATTTTATTTCTATTGTGTATGAGTGCTACAAAAGTTACAAAAATATATAAATCATTTTTTGTTAATATTCCTTTTTTTTGTTTTAGTATTAAATATTTGTTGTAATAAGCCCATATTCCAAGCAAGAATATAAGCCTGAAAATAAATACTGAATTCTATTGTTTCAGCCTTCATCAAATCAGCACCATACACTCATCATTGAAGAGTTTGAGCCTGATGTATTCCGGCAACTAATAGAATATATTCACACAGGTTGCGTCACTCTTCAACCAAGAACTCTTTTAGGCAAGTAAAACAAGGAATTAGTCAATTTCTTTCGATAAATAAATTTCTTTTATCATTGGGAGATGAATCTGATTTTACTTGCTTAGTTTAATTTCAAATTAATTTGAATTAAATTAAAACCTTATTTAATTTTACTCAAATCTCAAAATGATGCTTATTGTTAAAATAAATGCTATTTGAGTTAGGGGTAATTATGTTCATAACATGGACCAGTTTTCTTTTTCTTTTGTTTATTGTATAGGCACAAAAGTTGATTTAATTAAAACTGTGCATTATGTTATTGTTTTGTAAATTATGTTGTATTATAACAGCTAAAGATTAATGAATAAATTTATAATAAATCCAAACATTGAATTAATTGCTGTGAAAATTAATTTTGATTAAAATAATGCTGTAATATTTAAAATATCCCTGACATTATTATTTATTTTCATTCTTAAAAATCTTGATAAGGTTATGAAACATTGAAATAACATAGATAAATTGAAAATTGATATTTTTGATAACACTCTCCATTGATTATTTCTTTTTTTTTTATGTATTTAGGAGTGATGAATGCAGCAGATTATTATGGCCTAGATGAGTTACGGAGAGCTTGTGCGGGATTCGTTCAGTGCTGCATCAATGTTGACACTGTTTGTGCACTTCTGGCCTCAGCTGAAAGATATATTCAGTACAAATGCACAAAGTCTCTGGTTCAAAAAGTAGTTACATTTTTATAATTTATATAACATTTATTATGACTAAAGAAGTTTCAGAGAGACTCCTTTTCATGGTTGGTTATTTCTATTTAATTTAAAGATTAAATTGGAAATAAATGGCTAGCATATCATGAAATTAAAAAAAAAAAAGTATTTATTATGTGATAGAGATTAAAAAAAAAAAATTCATTCACATAATCTGGTTCCATTCCATATTGTTTCTTATACAGAAAATACGGGAGAAAAAAAAGGTTTTTTAAAAGTATTAAAGTATATATTTTTTATCTTTAAGAACAGTTTTAGGACCATTTATTAGCATGCAAAAAAATCTATGTCACATCTTCTGTGTTAAAAAAAAAAGTAATGCACTTATGATTAAAATATTTTATTTACAAGTTTAATTTTTAGGTTTTGGAATTTGTGGATGAACATGGAAATGAAGTTTTAAATTTAGGTTCATTCACGCTCCTACCGCAGCATGTTGTACGATTAATATTAGCAAGAGATGAACTTCGAGCTGATGAATTCACCAAGTTTCAGGTCTGTATCTTTCTTTTTATATTCAGTTCCCAACCCAATTAACATTGGGTTCTAAAATTTGTCAGTGACATCTTAAACTTATCTACATTGGGGACTTCCTCTCAAAGAATTTTTATTTCTATCTCACACTTAGGCATGTTAGATTGTTATATTAATGATTATTTAAATAATAGAAAATACAAATGGTCTCGACCATATAGAATTTTTATTATATGTGTTATTGGAGTAAAAGTTAACAATTTTGAATTTACATGTAAACCCCCAGTGCTTCACATATTACAGCTTTAGCTCCTTTTTGTTAGAGGAGCCAGTAACTCTAACTGTTTTATGTTATTTATATTACCTATTACCTGTCATACATCTTACACCTTAGATCTTTGTTTCACATTTTTACTGGCATATCTTTCCCTTATTTCAAAAGTTTTAAGTATATAGGTTAAAAATCAGTAATGGATTTCTGTATTACTCAAATGAGAACAGCAAATAAATTTTGTTGGCTTAGATCAACATAAAGTTACAATATTCGTTTTAATAAATTGAATTGGCCATAAAAAAAAAAATAGATATCATTTTCAGTGATATAAAACATTTGATCTAGAATTACTAATAAACATTAATATGAATGATATATTTTGCTAAATCAATTTTTAGCGACAAAATTTCAAATTTTTATATTAAAAAAACTAATGCACAAACTACTTGACTTTCCACTTAAAACAACTCCCCAACATTTAAAACTATTATTTTATTTTCCTTTCTACCCTGCTATAAAAGCAATATGGGAGTTTCCAGCAGTGAACTGATACACATACCTGCATAACCAATCATTGCTGTAAGTGTATCTTTTACATTGTGATAAATTGCTTAGCTTGGGGGTTTCAAATTTTGAAAACTGTTGAGCATGTCGTGACAATCTGTACCGCTTTTGAGAGTATGAGGGCCAAACTCCTGGGGGGAACTGAACTCTATGTCATCACGTAAAACAATTTTCCTCAGCTGGTAACTACATGTACTATAGAGCTTTTGTGTAAGGATGGAAGTAATTAGTAGCGATAAAGCATTTAAACCTCCTTCAATAATAAGAAATAAAATACCAAATTGGAATAATGAAGAATTGTAAGAAGAAACTTAAGTGTGCTACTTCTTCCGTAATCAGTATTGCCGAGAGGCAGGGTAGGATGGTAATAAATAAATAGTTTTCATTTTATATTAATATATGTTTTAATTTTTAAGGTTTTGGCAGCTATGTTAGTTTAACCGAAAATATGTATTATGATATACTAAGTTCAAAATGATTTTCTAGGCTGCTCTTATGTGGAGTAAAAAGTATTGTGACAGTAATCCAAACATTGTACTGAAAGATGTCATTGGTAACTTCCTTGACTATATACAGTTCCATAAGATTCCAGCTAATGTTCTGATGAGAGAGATCCATCCTCTTGGAATTGTTCCCTACAGTATCATCATGAATGCGCTCGCCTACCAGGTCAATGGCTCTCTTTATATGATTGTAGTGTTTTATAATTTATTCTTTGAAAAAATATTTATATCACAGGTTTTTTGCAAAAGGTTACTAAGTATACTTTTGATCAAACTAAACGTATATTTGTAAATTACCATGTAAGTACGATAAAGTACATATTTGTGAATTTTGGTCATATTTATCAATAATGAAATTCAAAAAGTACATTAAAATAATGAAAAAAAAGTTACTTTAAGGGTGCTATGTTTCCATTTCTCGGAATGAAAATTCATCAAACTACTTAGTGATATATTATTGTCTTAGCTTTCTCAGATTTCTGGAACAGCATCGACATCACGAAAAAAACATTTAAGAGAATGTAGAGGAACATTAAAAAAAAAAAAAAAATTACTTATTTAGAAACTTTCTGACAATCCTGCACGTATCAAGCCGAACTGCTTTTAAATGCGCTAAATCAAGTTGAAGTTCTTGGGTACCCTCTACTGTGCTTTTCAATATCAACCATTAGAAGATATGATTATAGGAGTAATCACTTTTCCCAAGTGATATAGTGTTTTTAACTCGGCAAGTTCTTGATATTTTATAATTTTTTTGGCCTTGGTGGTTATCATGTTGGTATCACAACCTACTGCTATACCTATGATTTCTCCAGTTTTATTTCTTTTGTTTATAACCAAGATATCTGGACGATTATGCAATACCCTATGGTCCGTTATTATATTTTGATCCCAGAAAACTTTTATATTTCTATTTTCATTAAATTTTTTCAGGGAATAGCGTTAATAGGGTAACTCATCACTCTCCATCAGTCTGTCTACATATGCTTTGGTGGTATATTTTTGCAACACTATTATGCCTCATGAGGTATTCCATTCCTGCCAGAGTATCGCAGCCATTGGTAACATGTTGGATAGATTTAAGCGTCTTCGAAAAAAAACCGACACTTATCCGTGGCCAGATTTGCATTTAATATATGTTTTCTATAGAGCCTGGTTGCGATAATCTGACCCTGAATAGCTATAAAAAACCCTTCTGTCTTGCCATATCTTTGCCCTGTCTTTAACTACTCAATTGAGAGCTCATTGTCAATCTCTGGCTCATGTAATGGGTGGTAAAATCTGCCATGCAATTCCTTCTTCTTCCATATTGTTTTGTAATAGTCAACATTTCTCACTTCTGGTCGAATCGGATCGCCAAAATTCCAGACAGTGTAACCTCCATCTAATTCTTTCCAGATGATGATTGGAGATGCATTTGTCATAAAATATTCCTTTAGTGATTTTTCGTGTTTTCGGCAAGAGTCTTCAATTGATGTAAGGTCACGGCATCCTTCTTTTGTTGATATATTCTCCTTCTTTTCTTAGTGATATATTATTATTATTATAACTGAATAAGCCCAATCGGTACTACAAAAAGTACTGTGATACGCTTTCTAGCCTTCCTTTGAGAGGCCATATAAATTATATAAAATGTTACTTACTGATTTTTTGCAATAAACCTAACATATTTACTTTATAAAATGTATTAAAAAGTATTGGAAAGCTATATTCTTAGTTGAATTTATATGAATATTGGATGGCAGATGTTAAAAAATAATTCTATTTTAGACTTGAGCACAAAGCTGATGGAAAATATTGTGTTGCACCTCGGCTCTCAGAATTTGCTTGTTTTTCAGCAGAATCTCTGAAATTATACATTTAAAAAAGATCCATGGTACATAGGAACAATTTATATTCACTGGGTGCAGTTATAAATTATATATATATATTTTTTTTTTTTATGCAATATCACCATCAGGTCATGTCTAGTAGAGTGTCTATTAAGAGAATTTGGTCGTTAGTCTTGACACCTCATTCTTTGCCTGTCAAACACCTCCAGTGACTCCTGTTAGCACCGGGAAACATAAAACTCAGCAAGATACATCATCAGAAGAGATAATTGAAGAACCTCAGCCTCAACTAGGTACAACATCATAAGAGACAATTGAAGAATCTCTCTTTTTTTTTCTATCTCCTCTCCCCAGCCTCTATCAGCTGCTTCAAAATGATTGAGAGGTAATGGAGTCCACTCCGATTCCAAGAGACCCCTGACCTCCACCGATATTCGTTAAAAACAAAAAATTTCCAGTTACTATGCTCTGAACTTAACAAAATAACAGACTCTGGAAGCTACTCATGTCTAGGCAGAACAAAGGACACTAAGATATCACTAGATACCGCTGAAACCTACAGAAAAATTGTTCAATGTCTAACAGAAACCAAAGCGGATTTTCATACATACCAATTACGGCAAGAGCGAGCTTTGAGAGTTGTTATAAGAAATCTACACCCCTTAACACTAACTGAGGCAATAGAAGAAATGAAAAATTTAGGTTTCATACCGCACCAGATTACAAATGTTCTGGAAGAGAGTAAAAAAAAGCCAGGAGTAAAAGTTCCTATACCCTTATTTTTAGTAGACTTGGAATCAACTCAAGAAATAAAAAAAATAAAGGAGATAAGATGAATGTACTATACAAGTGTGATAGTAGGAAAGCCATATCGTAAGAGGGAAATCGTCCAGTTCCATAATTGCCAGGCATATGGCCACACCAAGACTTACTGCCATCATTTGCCACCTTGAGTGAAATCGAGAGCAGCACAAATCCGGTGAGCGCATAAAACCAAAACGAGATCTTGCAGTTTGTGCTTTGTGCCTTTAAGGACATCCAGCAGACTACAAAGACTGTCAGATATACAAGAATATCAAGTCAAAATACCAAGTTAAGAAGAATATCAGAAACCCGGAACCAAGAAGAGAACCTTCCAACAGTAGATCCAGCGGTTTCCTTTGCACATTTATTAGGAGGTAAGAACGAAATCATTAATTGTGAGACCCTGCCGCAATAAAAATATACACCAAATACTCAAATTTCACCTAATTCTCAACAATTACATCAACACCAAATTCCTCACATTCCTGCTACATCAAATACCACAGATCTCAACAGTTTACTTACATCTTTCCTCTCCGAATTCAGATCTCTTGTTACTCCTTTGATATCCCCTCTCACCAATCTTTTATCACATTTTATCTCTCCCTCAAAAAATCATTAAATGACTTCCAATATCCATATATTCCTATATCCATTCTCCTTTGGAATGGGAATGGTGTTAGAAATCACACAGACGAACTATATTCTTTATTACTAGACAAGAACATTGATGTGGCACTAATTTCTGAAAATTCACTAACCACTAAACAGCTCTTCAAAATACCAAAATATTTGATATATCGTACTGACCATCCTGACGGTAGAGCTGCTGTCATTGTACACCAATCTCTCTCCCATCACCTAGTTCCATTATCTATTCAAAATTTCCTACAATCCACCACTATTGTTATCAAAATCTTATATATTACATATTCTTACAGACATACATTGCTTCAAAGAGCACAGATAGGTAGACTGGAGGGGGTCCCTAACCTCACATTATGGTTATGGTTTAGAACCATAATCTCCATGGCGAAGCGGCAGGACATCAATTGCTATATAACTGATCCCTTTATGGTCAATCTGGCAGTGCCCTTCCTATTGACCCAAACAGGTTCAAGAACAGTGGCTAATTGATATAGATCCATGTATGCTCAGAGTTAGCAGACGCAGGACGACATATCTTTCTTTCCCTGAAACCAATGGGGGAATAACGGGGGACTTCAAGAATCACATAAACACCATTTCATGTAGGTACTGGTACTGGGTGGAGGGAACTAGTCTGGCAAGTGGACCTATAGTGATCTTTTTTGCCAACCCCTGGTGACTACCTTTAAGGTTGCTGTCGCGTACTTGCCAGAGTGGGAATGTCGCGATCCATTTCCTGAAGAATGAAGAGCTGAGAAATGAAAAGTAACTGACCCAGGTGGGAATCGAACCCACAACGTTCAGAATCAGGCACTCTGTGACCCACGCCCCACCGGGCTCAGCCATTTTGTTCTCCATTTCATATAGGTAGTTAGTATCTTTCTTTCTTTCCAAAGTAATTATCGTTGTTTATATGAAAACAATTTTTCGCTCTGAAGCCTCTAAAATTAAATCCTGGATCCACTAGTGCCTGAAACAGGGAGTCCTAGGACCAAACCTCTGGTGGATTATTGAATTGTGTGGTTTTTGGAAAACCACATGATTCCTGATTAAAGTACACAGGGCAAGGTCATTATTCCTATACTTGGTCGGAGCGAGCTACCTCCAGTAGCTTGATGGATCTCATATAACAGGGAGAGGGAGAATAGTAGTTTTTAGTATTCATTTTGAAGTTAACTGTGTTTTAAATATTTTTAATAAGGTATTTAATATCTTTTAATCTTCAATTTATAATACTTTGTTTTTTTTTATCATGTTGAGCCAAATCTACAGATATTATTGTAAGTCTATTATAATAGGAAGATATATAACTTCTAGTATATACAGATTAGAAAATTATTAATGAAAATCAGAAATCTATCAAGTAAAAACTATTAATTTCATCTACGTATATATGCTGTGTTTGTGTATTTGTATATGTGCACCAGTATATGTTTGAATATATATATATATATATATATATATATATATATATATATATATATATAACGTACAATCTTTTAATAAAATAAAAAAAATTGAATAGAAGCCAAAACAGTCTAAAAATATAAATTTTTTATGAAACTAAAGTATAACTAAAGATCATCTCATACAAACAGAGCATCTTTTTACATTGGCTTAAACTCTTAATACACTTAGAGACTCATTGACTGACCTCTGGATCCTTCCTTGCTATCTGTTACCACTTAACCATAAACATTTTCCTTTTAAGTCCGAGATAATTTTATATTATTTGTATGTACGTCCATGAGAAGATATGTTTCAGTGTTTGTTGGTTTGTGTGTAGGCAGACCCCAACAGCGTAGACCCTGGGAAGCTGAGCCCGAGTCGTGTGAGAAGGTCAGGAGGTCGCTCAATGTCTGTACAAAGCTCACTCGACCCATGTGGATCTAATACTACCCTCAGCTCATCAGCATCATCCGATGCCATCTCCTCTGATAAACCCTCGTCTAACTAGTCTTTTCATCTCTTTTGGATGGATAGAGCCATAAAGTACAACTGCTGCACAGTATTCTTATGTTCCAAGAGTTTATTGATTGTTGTGTTAAGGAAGGCTATAGTTAATTCAATCTCGATATCAAACCCTTTGACCCATTATACAAAAACTGTTTGTTCTTGTTTTTGGAGGTCACTTAAAGGAAGCTTTCCTCTCTTTATTTTTATTTTTGTTGAGGCATTACCATGATTTTATAAAGAAGAGATTTTCCTGTATCAAGGAACTTGACCTTCAGAGACAATAACTAACTCTAGCATATGAATCAATTGAACTAGACAGATTTTTTCATCTGCTCATACTTTTAGTTAAGACTTCAAACCACTCATGAGGTTATATATATGAAAGTAATGCTCTACAATCTTTTTTAGCAAAATTGTAAACTTGTACCTCAGAATATATAATACTCAGGACATACACTGCCCATATAGAGAGACCAATGTTGCCTGGATCCATAAATGTCACTTAGAAGTAATAGTTGTATAATGTTAATGATTTAATTCTTAAACATGATCAATCTTCTTTGTTTTTATTTAGTAATTATTGGATAGCAGAACATTTAACAACAAATTATCAGAGAAGTTAATAATTAAAGTAATCATTAATTTAATGCCAATAATTGATTAGCTAACATCATCAAAAAGTCAAAAAATATATATATTTCTAGCTCTAACAGACAACTTTATTTTAACCTGTTGCATAGTATGGTCAACTGGCATCCCAGTAAACTTTTAAGATTGGTGGCCCCCTTCCTCCACCAACAATTCTAGATTATCTTCTTATAGTATCCACTCATTTCACAATTTGCTCACAATCGAATCATCTATTGAACTATTATTTTCTGTTTAAAAAAATGTATTATAGTTTTTTTTTTGGCCATTTTGATACCTACCGGAAAGCTGTACCTGGGACAGTTGCACAATCTGACACATCTAGTTCCACCTCTGTAACTGTTTATTGCTGGAGAAGATGCAAAAACGAAAATAATAACTAATATCCCAACCAAGGGCCTTTTTTACCTGGTTTTTAATGTTATGTGACACGTTTTTTTTTGTTTTTTTTATCAACATCTGAAATATTTCTGATTAAACCTAAGAGACAGAACTTCTATAAATAGTTTGATTATGTTTTTAGAATACATTGACTCCCTTTCATTTATGAAAATCTTTAATACTGAAACAAAAATTGAAAGAAAACTTATATTTAAAAAAAAATGTATCTAGGAATGAAAAAAAAAAAGCTAGGAATTAATTCATCAAAATAAATAATGTAGTATCTGAATGAAATCATTCTTTGGTATTGATGGAATTAAGAAACAGGAAATTTTTAATTTTTTAACAATTGGAAAATCAATTATGATTGACATACCTGGATAAGAATGTTTGTTAAAATTGTGTTTAACTAGCTTAGGAATTTGAAGCATACTATCATCTACTGATGTAATTGTTTGTTAAGGATTAAATGTGTTGGATATATGGATTTGCAGTTTTAAAAACAACGAATTTCTAATTTAAAATTAATTTTTAAGTACAAGTAATTGCAACATTTTAAATCTATTGTTTTTCTTGTTAGGATTATCATATAAATGCCTTGGCAATTGATTGTTTCTTGAAATTTCTGTTATTTTTACTATAGAATAAGCTGTATTTAGCTAACTGTTTAATGTTTCAAAAGTATTGTTATAGATAAGGTATTTAGTAACATTTCACTGTCTAAAGAAATGTTGTCATTCTAAATATTTTTTATATTTAAATTTTGGTTGGATTTGCATAGTATTTATTTCTTGACAGGAAATGTGTATTACCAAAGCCTTCCTTAGAAAACAATCAAATAACTTATGCAATGAGATTGTGCCTTTTTAAAAAATAAATTGTTTTAACACCTTTCAGACAATCTAAAATTTCATGAATACAGTATTTGTTTTCTCTCTGTTTTAATAGGCACAGGTTCAAAATTCAGTTATATCTAAATTTTAGCTAAGTTAGGATTAAAAGATTTGGACTCTTATCCATTCAAAAGAACAACTTCAAAGATATTTTTTGTTTTTTTAAGAAAGAAGGAAAACTGGAAATATCAACTAAAAATACCTCTTTCATAAAATACTATATGTGATGAATGTAAGCCTTTTAAACAAAAATAATTTTAGTATATCCTATAAATGTTAATCATAAATGTATTTATACAAAAATGAAAATATATTATTCAAGTGTTTATTGTTTGGTTTATCGCTTTTTTTTTTTTTTTTGTCTCTCCTTTTTCGTCTTTTAGGCAACAAAAGATTTTCAGGACCAGGGGGTGAGAGCATGGATTAATGCCCCAGTTAAAAAGCCTTTAGCCAGAGGAAGCCAACCCCGATTTATTTTATCTTCTATAACAGGGAGTTCTTAATTACCAGTAAGGACCGGATCCGGCCCCATGAAAGCTCTATGGTTTAATGGTAAAATGTTAAAAAAATATTTAAAAATTAAATAATTAGTTAATTAGTCAAACAAGTGGTTACTACATCCAATGCTTTAATTGCTTCTCTTAGAAAGCTCATATCATCAGTAAAGAATCATTTATAGAAACCAAGCGTCGTTAGTTCTTCTTTTATCATTTCAGTTGGGGTTGAGGAGTGCAAATTATTTATCACCACTCGTAACGATCTCTCCAGTTTCAGCTGATACGCATGGAAATTTGCATTCGTTTCTGACAGGTACTCACAATTTGTCGGTAGGTTTCTGCAATATCTGGTGTTATTTTTGTATCGTTGGTCCTATTGAGGCAAGAATATCTGCCAGAGCAGATTTTGTTTGGTAGTGTATACAATAATTAGAATTTTTTTACAACTATCGGAGGAGGCCTTGGTTCCCTGGGTGTTGCTGCTGACTCCATTACTTCTCTCTCATTCTAAAGCACTTGGGATGGAACGGGTTTGGAGTAAAGAAAGAGGATTCTTCAACCATTTCTTGCGAAGAGGTACCTGGTTGAGGCTGAGGTTCTGGATCTAAAGTGTTCACTGTGGTTATTGCAGCAGTTTCTTGTATGCAGTGAAGACTTTTTTGTTTGGCTAATGAATCAGGAAGGGTACTAATGCCGTCTGACCAAGTTCTCTTTGTGAGCACCTTACTGGACATCACTTGGTGACAATGCCACATATTATAAGAGAAGAAAAAAAAATTATGAAAAAAAAATATATATCAAACAGTAAATATCAACTGTTTTGATGTACACTTGAACAGTATTCAGTAAATAATCAGAGAGATTCAGCTGAAAAATAGGCAAAAACTGAGAGACGAGAACACAATCTTCACATCATCTGATCCACTGCCTTTTGTGAATTAGTTGTTTTAAATGAATACGTTGTACTCTCCTTAAATTTTACTTTCGCTCTACATTATATGAAAATACCTATTTCTGCTCGAAATAAGATGATAAGTGAAAGTTGTGGGATGTGTGCACCACATTATTTGAAGTGAAAACTTCTTTTCGTTTTGCTCTTTTTTGTGGAGAGTGAATTACATTGAGCCATCAGATTTCAGATATGAAATGCTCAGGTAAAATCGGCTGGAGTTGACTAATTGAAGTTTTTTTGTATACGGATTAAAATATCTCAAAACCTAAAAATCGGACAGATATTATATTGTTACGGATGCATATTGTTACCGTAGGAAATGTCCATAATTCCATAATCTTTGTAATGAGTTATTATTCAAATTAGTATCTTAACGCGACTCCGTGTTAGAGAGGAGAAAAGTTAAAAAAATAGTGTCGAAAACCAAATAATAATGAGTTTTATGGAAGATGTGAATTAAAATATATCAGAAACTAAATATCGGACATCCATACAGTAAGCGAGGGAATTGTTCAGCATTTCATCTTCTCTGTAATGGGCTATTCTTCAAAATTTTATCTCAACACGACATCACGTTAAAGAGGAGAAAAGGGGGAAAACCAAATGATAACGAGTTTTATTAAAGATATGAATTAAAATATTTCAGAAACTAAAAATCGGACCTGCGTACTGAAAATGAGGGAAATGTTCAGCATTTCATCTTTATAATGAGCTATTATTATTTATAATTTATATTCCATATTATTAATCCCTTCTTGTTGATGTTTTCACTTCTATCCACTAGTGGATCTAGGATTTAATTTTAGGGGCTTCAGCCCGAAATTTTTTTTTTCATATATATATATGTATATATATAACGATAATTACTTTGGGGAAAAAAAAGAAAGATGTGTGTACATCGGTGTAATTCGTTCATATGATAGACTCAGTTTACTTTAATTTTTTTTTCAGTTCAGTTAAGTTCAGTTTTTTTTTCTTCTCTTTTTTAAAAAAACACTATTATTAATCACGCTATTAAGTGTCGGATCTTCACAATAATCGGAGTAAAGAAAGCGCAGCGAGATTGATAGAGTTCTGGGAGCAACGAGCTGGCAGGCGTCTACTAATCCTAACAGCATTAGACCAGCATTAGACGTTGTTTACTACCGTCAACAGTCTTGGTATTTATTTATATTTTAATTGCGAAGTAATTCTCATTAATAAATTTAAAAAATGGTGCAGTGTAATATTTGCAACAACTTTATCGCACGCGAAGATAAGAACAATTTACACTGCGTTAAGTGTAAAATAATTTTTCATGGTAGGTGCGTCAACCTTACTGATAAAGACACCGAAGCATTAAAAATAATTAAAAAAACATGGGTTTGCTCTAACTGCGAACAGGTGAAAAAACAAAATACCGAGCCGTCCCCCTCAGAAATACTTGCGGCAGTAAATCGTTTAGACGCTACCGTGAACGAAGATATAAAAAACATGAAAACAGCACTAGATAAATACGGAGAGCTCAGTTTTGAACTAAACGAAAGACTGACGAAGATTGAAAAACATCTGGAAGGTCAAGCTAAAAAGTTTGAGGAGATATTATTAGAAAACAAAGCACTCAAATCCCGAGTGGGCGAATTAGAGGTTC